ATATATATACATACATGCTCACAGTGTTAAATGAGCTATTTTCGAAAGAAAGTACACATGCAATGTTTGACAATGGTGAACAAGAACTTTTGAAAATCCAACACAGTAGGGGGCGGAGCTAGACTGCTATGAATAGGGTTATTGGCACTTGTGTGGCCAAGACTTTTTCAGGGTGGCATACAAATAAAATAAACTATTCTATTTCTCTGACCAGATAGCTGCTTGACAATTTTCTTAAACCATTTACTTTATTATTATTATTTGTTACTTTTATCCTCCTGGGAAACAAAGGGGAATAAGTGTTTTACAATTAATTTTTTTTGTGTATGTGCTTTCTTATTTGGGCCGTAAAAACACCTTGTAATTAAAATTTATCTGAACTATGAACATAAGCAATTCTGCAGTTCTTTTGGATATTTTAGCAGTGATAGTCCTGGAATGATCGTCCTTTATGTAATGCAGAGAAACAACTAGCATTTGCCTACTTACACTTAAAAGTGATCATATTTACCTCTTTCAGATATCATGTCTGATTCATGATAAAAAAACAGACAATTTTATTGACCTTCCTGAATATAGCATCCTGATTTGCCAATTTATWGATGGTGCCTAAACCTCACAACACCTGCTGAACCCCAAACACTCATGTGAATCTGTATTTTACTAAACTGAGGAGACAGGCTTTAAATATGTGTGCAGTGTTTTTTTTAAACTAAGATAACAAATTACAAATCTGTGCAGAAATGATTCTCACAACCTCATAACCACTGTGGCATGATTTGTCTAATCACATTTCACTTTTACTTTTAAAGACAATTATGGTTCACTAAATACTTGGTATAATTATGTATTTTTCTTTCAAGCTTGTCCTTTTTTGAATAAAAAGGACCATACACTGCTTTTTAAATACATTGCTTATGTTGTTACCATTGCCTGATTTGGAAGGGTTCATTTCACAATGCTTATGACAATAATGTAAAATGTTTTAAAAACATGTGTGAATGTGTATGAATGGGTGAATGACATTACTTTTCAATCTGTAGGAACTTGATAAAGTGATAAGTTCAGGCCATGTATCATTTAACTACCCCCTCATATTTTACCATATTCTTTGCCTAACTTCTTATTAGAATTACACTAAGTAAAAGGTTCTTTAGTAATGATTGAACAATAAAATATGCCTTTTGACAGGATATTTTCATGTGACACAAATGTTTACAAATGGAAACAATTTATAGGTTTATTTTTCTCCTGCTGGAGAAAATAGAGTTCACAGGTAAGTTTGTCTAAATTT